TTCTTGTTATTTGGAACAACCTAAATGGCAAAGTGGTTGTTATTTTAGGATAGCCTATTAAACCCTATCTTTTTAAACCCTTAATAATAGGTTGCATCCTAACCACCCTAAACACATATCTATTCCTATGCAAATTCTCAAGAAATTCAACGATTGACACATATCACAAAATAAAGCTATTATCTTCAACAAAGTTATTATAATGTTATATTTTTATATGTTTATATATAAATAGTTAATACAACACTCATTTCTTATCAATAGTTATCTCTCTCAATCTGTCTCCTCAAATAACAACTATTTTTTTACTGGCTATCTCCCATTAACCTATCTTTTTAGAGGGTACCAACCTTTTGACTAAGGTTGCTTGCAAGGAAAAATAAATTATTCATTATTATTACTTCATCCTCCATAAGATGAATTTATATAACTGAGATGTATAAATACCTTAATTTATCAGGTAAGCACACGAGATAAAATATAAAAATAACCATATTTTTTTACTTTTTTTTATATTATATCCCTTATAATTTACAAATTTAAGCATTAGATGATATTTTATTTTAATAAAGAACTTGTTTTATAGGGAATATAAAGCCTATAAAAAAACCCACATTTAAGTTAAACACTTCAGCCTAAGATGTAATTGTGAAAAGCCTAAATCAATTTCATATTTTTTTTTCATGAATTCATATCTAGCCTAGTTATGTTTTAACTCAATCCTATTTATTTTGTAAAGATTTTATACAATAACTACTTCCATATATGGAGTAATGACTGGTTTATTAAATTCTTTATAAATGCCATTTATTTCTACACTTTTTAGACATAAGAAAGAAAAGAGAAACACTTGTATATTCATTGCATCTTTCTTAAGAGCTTGATTAGTTGAACTTTTTATATTGTGTTATTATGCTTAACTTTCATTGATTTGCTCTCTTTTTAATGATCATTTGGGTTTTATTGTTTCTTAGTAAAATACATATTATTAAGGTGAGGGTGACATCATATCAAAACTTGAATCAAAGATATGTAAAAAGTTGTAAAATGTTTGTTTTTTTTTTTGTTCATGCAAGTATAAACATACATCAAATTGAGAAATCCAAAATTATATTTTGAGGTTGGACGTTGACATGATCAAATCAAGATATATTATTGTATATGATGTATCCATCTTTGCTTTATTGTATTATACTTATATCTCACAGGTTCATTACTTTTGTATATTGCTTATATATTGTTTGTTATCTTAAGTTTTACATTTTTCTTTAAGATTTTATTTTGGTTCTATAAAGATTTATTCATCCCTCTTTATATTTAACTTTTGATCTAACGGTCCTAACAATTTTGGAATGCAATAATAAAATAATAACTTATCAAGATAGAGTAAAAAGATATGGATGGAGTAATCTTGCACCTCAATTTGCACTCGTAAAATTAGACTTATTTTTAAAAGATTTAGAAAAAAATGAATATTATTTCTCTTTAATTTAACTTTTAATATCATCATACAATTAAACTACCATAGTTGCTTTTACATAAACTAAACGAAGCCATGCTAAATCAACTAAAAGAAGAGTCAAAGTGTGTTGTGGAATTATTGTTCCTGCATTATGAAATGTGTTGTGTTTTTAATCATCATAGATTGTAACAATGTTTTCTTTTTCTTTTTTTCATCTTTTTTGGTTATTATTTTTTTCTTTCGATTCCATTATTCAATGTTGTTTTAATTAGAGATTGTGATTGATAGTTTATTTTGATTTGTTTTCTAATAGATTGTTAAAGTGTTAAAAGAACATAACATTGGTTTAATACTTGATTTTGTAGGAAAAAAAACTAATTTTATTATTTGCAAAACGAAGGGGACTAAAATTGAATATGGGTGAAAAACAAAGCCTTCTTAACCCAACATTTGGCTTTTTTAGTTTCATAATTATACAATTTGGTTTAGAACTTATTGTTTGATGTTTTAGTCCTTTAGTTTATGAGAGGAGATCGAGAATTGGATAACAGAGAGAAAGTTATTGGTTTTCCAAATTTCGACACCATAAAAACTATTTTTTTAGGATTAATAAGTTCTATTTGAAAGGGAGAGCTTCATTGAAGAGTATTTTTACCCTTCATTTTGCTGGAAAAAACATATTAGGATTGAAAGACAAAAGAAAATCTATTATATTTTGTAATCTTGAATTGATTTTAAAGGTGTTTTGGGTTATGAGATTGGTTTGTTAGGGTTATAAAGTTGTTTTTAGGTGTTTTCAAGTAAAAATGGGTTGAAATGAGTTTTTAGACAATAAAATACTCTAAGTTTAATTTATTAGCAACCTCTTTGATTGTCGGAATCTACACAACAAATATTAATATTGTCTATGTTGTTTTTATAGAGAAAAAATAAATAAGGTATCATCCACTCTTTAACATAACAAAAAAAATAAAGAGGTTTAACGTGTAGGCCATACCTTTTTCTTTATAGGCTAAGTGTTTAGGTCCATGTACTTGGCCTTTTTTGTTTTTTTTATAAATTTTAAATTTTAATTCCTTAAAATAGATTAGTTAATTTTTTTTAATTAAATATCATTAAATTTTCAATTTATGTTTACTAAGATGATGATTTTTTTATTAATATATTGGCTTATGCTCTTTTTATATAACTTTTTAAGATGTTTTTTTTTATACTAATGTTATTTTTTTATATTGTTTGATTAAACAATGCTCATTTCTTTCATTTGTTTTTGAAAAAGGTTATAGCATTTTTTCTTAAACTAGCAAACATTTTTTCTTTGTATCCTCTCATGATGAATTTTTTTTCTTGAATTTACTCAGTGAATTTTCTATGCATGTTGATTTGTATTATTATATAGTTAGATAAAAAAAATAAATTTTTAAAAAATAAGCTATTAAATCAACTTGTTTCCATGACTTGGGTCAGGGGTTTGTTGGGTGGATCCAAAACTTCATCACTTTAACATATTAAAAAAAAAAGAGTTAAAATAATCCAAATCAAATTAAAAATTATTTTCAATATCATTTTTCTTCATTTTTCATAACTGACTTTAACATATTAAAAAAAAAAGAGTTAAAATAATCCAAATCAAATTGAAAATTATTTTCAATATCATTTTTCTTCATTTTTTATATTCAGTTAGAGAGAGAGAGAGAGAGAGAGATTCCATCCTCTTTGATTTTTTTTCCTATAGAGTTTGATCATCATTACTTTTATTTCTATTTTTTGCTTTGGTAACCTTTTAGATTGATTTTATTTTTTAATTGTTGATATTAAATTAATTAGAAATTGATCTTTTTGATTCAATCTTAGTCTAAGATTTTATATGTTATGATTTTGAAAAATTAATCTGGGTTTATAAAATTTGTTTGAATTTACTTGTTTTTTAATATTATTAAATTAAAATTGTTTTTTTATATTATTAAATTAACTGAACTTATTAGACACAATCAACTCAATATCCAAGTCTTGAATTTCTTTTACTTCTTTAGAAATCCTAACATTGCCTTAACTTTCTTCTTCTTACATCCAAAAAAAATTGAATGGTCATAGCCTTGCGCTATTCACCGATATAAATTTACTCGAATTATTTTTTTAATTATTTTTATTTTTTTATTTTTAGCTTTTAATATTTTGTTAATTATATTTAAGCTCTTTAATTTATTTCAATGTGAGTTTCATGGTTTTATTACTATCTCACACCTCATATCACAAGTTTCATAAATTAACTATTATTAACTTAGGTCAATCTGATATATTACTATTTTAATTTTTTTAATATATAACTTAATATGTCACAATTTAAATATTTTAAAAGTATTTCAGTATATAGTTTTTTTAACTTTCTAATGTTTTGATACCCTTTTCAAGTTAAAAAAACCCTACCTGTATATATAGTATAGCATGAACCAAAATGCTAGTTTAGATACCAAATTATGTTACAATGAGTTTTTTTTTCCCTTCTATATGAAAATGAATCTACACTTTTTTTCACTTAAAGAAAATAGCATGCATCCAGGTTTTATGGCATTAAAAATTACAAGAAACTAAAATATCTCTTGATTTTACTATGTTTATTTATTGTATACCTATATTTACTATCATTATAGATTAAAATAATAAAATTATAATTTTTACTTGTAAATATAACATAATTGGCTTTAGCAAGATAAATATATCTTTTTATTATTTTGTGTACAGTAAAATATCTTATATGCTTTAGAGAGAGAGAAAAAAAAGTAAGTTGGCAAAAAGAGGTATTATTGGTTTTTTCATTTCAAATACACAATAACTTTATCAAAATGCTATGGAATTAAATTTCTCATTGCCTTATGTCAATAAGTTTTAATGTTTTTTTCATTCATTTTTTTGTGTTATTATAAAATCTGAACATGAGCAACTAAATATTTTGACATATATAAAATATCAATTAATTCTAATATAAATCACATATGAAGCACATGAATGACGTTTTATTTCATAATAGTGTATATAATATTATAACGTCACTCAAATATCAAAATACATCTTTCACAATGACGTTTTATTTCACAATAATGTATATAATATTATTTGTTGATCAAAATTTATTTTTTACATTAACATATTTAAAATATTAAAAAATATTGAAGCAATTTGTTTTTGAATTTTAGTAAATCTTTATTTAGACTGCATTTCCAAATAAAAGTTAAGATAGTGTTTATTATGTAGTTAGACCATATTTTTCAATTTTTTTGAATTTTAAATATTTTTAAATATATTAATATTAATATTAAAAATTAAAATATATTACTTTAATATACTTCTAAATAAAAATATATATTTTTTTAATTTTTTATTACAATTCTAAACGCTTACCTTGTCTAATTTATCAAGCATTTTATATTTCTTAATAATATTTTATTTGCTAAAATTAATAATTATATAAATTTTTAATAATTTAAAAAAATTAAATTTATAATTATTAAAAAAATAAATTTAAAATATGGTAGGGATGTTTGTTTAGATTCAAGGTGCGGTCATGAGGGCCTCCTGCCTGGATTCGAAAGCTATTGAGAATGCCTCCGTAGCCTAATCCAGCAGTCTCATAAATACGTCACCATCCTGTCCAGTGTTTCCACCGATAACATCATTTTTCTTCATGGACCGACCAGCCCCCACCACCACCTCAACCTCCACCTCCACCTCCACCTCCACTCCCCCCATAATTAAGCAACCTACGGAACCACCACCATCTCAACCACAACCGCAACCACAACCACAACCATCCTCCTCCACGGCCTCTCCAAACCCTAATCTTAACCCCAACCCACCCCCAAAACCTTCAATATCAGCAGCAACAACAATCACCACCACCCCCAGCATCACAAGGCCTCAGACAGTGCATAGGCCATGGCAGCACCCCCACCCCCACTCCCAACTCCCGTCTGTTTCTTCGGGCCCTCCTATACCATCCTCCTCCTCCACGACCCCTTCTATTTCTTCGCCACGCGGTGTTGCCCTAGGTGTTCCCGCGCCTTCTCCCGCGTCCTTTTCTTCTTCATTTGGTCACCAGTTTGTTGGATTGAACCGCGCTCCGGTTAACGTGCCTGAATCCGTAGCCAACACCAACAACTCGCAGGTGATAATTTTTTTATTTCAATTTTTGCTTTTAGAAAAGGAAAAGAATTAATGTGGTTATTCTATTCATACTCTTGTTGTTGTTTGAGAGATGTACAGGTGAGGCAAGGGGTGATGGCTTCAATGGCGTCGAATTCTCAAATGCGACCACATCAACAGAGACCTGTTCAATCATCTCTTCGACCAGCCACCTCTTCCTCAAATACCCAAGTCAGTACTGGCTTTCCAAATATTTCATCCTGTCTCTTTAAACTTGCTTTCTCCCTTTTTTCGTTGGTTTGGTGGATGGGATTTTGATAGCAAATATTAGCAAGTGAAAGAATAGCGTTGATTTAGTGCGGTTGCCTTTGATCTTGAAAAAGGCTCCGAAAATTGAGGGAGATATTGTGTTATTATGTTAGTGAATTGCTGCGACTTTTTCGTATAAGTTTGCCATATAGCCCTAAGTTTTGGAATTACTACTGTGAATTATTTTTATCTTATGTAGCTATTTCTCATACACCCTCATGTTGGCCCTAATTTGAAACAGAGATTGCAAAGTTGCTTGGAAATTGTATTTTCCAATTAGAAGTTATGTGCTATATAAAGTTTTTGAGATTTTTTTGGATCATTTTAAAACCATCAGCATTTCCTCTATTGGTTTAATTGACTCGTGATGGTGATACATGATTTCTATTTGTTGATTCCATGTTCCTGTGACAATTTAACTAGTTCTTAATTGTGCTTTGCTGGATGGTTTTGGTGAAGTTAGGTTTTCCTCTCATTTTAGTTATTTTTGCTAATTTGTTTAGTTTTTTGTAGAATTTCTCAGGGCATGTATTTATAAGATCCACACCAGCAGGTGCAGCAGGTTCTCCAGTGCCAAATGCATCGCAAAGCACATCGCAAAGTTTGCAGTCCTCCAGTCAGCTGTGGTTGTCATCTGCATCTCAAGGGAAGCCTCCATTGCCTTCCCCTTCATATAGACCTCAGATGAACTCTCCGTCACTGCAACAAAGGTCACACATTCCACCACAGCATCATTCCCCACCGACAACTTCGCAGCAACAGCACATGTCACCTGCACAACCTCAACAACTTTTACAATCCCATCAACAACCAGAGCATTATGGCCAGCAATTTCCACCATCAAGAGTCCAACAGTCCTTATCCCCTCTGCAACAAGTTTCAAGGGTTCAAGGTTCAGTAAATCATAAGCCATCTTCCCTAGCAATGTCACATCCTAACACAGTACAACCATTGCCGCAGAATAGTATAGCTAATGCAGAAAGTGATGAATCTGGTAACCGGATTCTTAGCAAAAGAAGCATTCATGAGCTAGTTAGTCAGGTGCCATACCTTTCTCCTTTTAGTGCTAGGCCTCTATTTAAAAATCTGTATTTAACCATCATTAGTTTAATTTATGAATATATATACCAAGACGAAGGAAGAATGTGGTTCCATTTTAAATGCTTTGACTCAAGTATTCATTTTTTGTTTTTAGCATCTCCCTTTTCATTTTAGTCATTCTTAATAAAAGACCTTTAGTCATTTATTATGTTCATGCTACTCCAGAATAATTCACCAAGTGAGGTGAGGGAAATATTTTTTTTTTAATTGTTTATTGTAGTGGTTGTCAGAGTTGCAGATATGCAAGTCCTGGACAAGTTTTTGATGAAGCAAAAGCATCCAAGTATTTATTTTATGTTGAAATTAGCTTGTGAAATTATGTTTTGAATCATGGTTGTGGTTCCGTGGACTCCGCTACAGCCATGTTGTCATTGGCTGTCTTTGTGTTAGCTAATGATGGATATAGCCTGGTGTTTCTTATTTTGTAGTGGATTGTTCCAGTGTTCAAAAATTATAACCACATTGCCTTGTTGAAATTTAATTTTTAGCCTGCATTTTCATGTGGTTCGATACAACTATTTTGGACATTATGCTTGAATTCTTTAAATGGTGTAAGACAGTCTGTGACTTGACTTTTGTGTCAGCAGATGAATTTATGGGTTGGTTGTTTTAAAGCATGATATCTTTCGCCTGGAGATTGCCTAGTTCATATCTTGTCTAAAAGAGGCATCAAAATGACTTTGGTCTCTCCTCACAATTTGACTCCAATGTTGTGTTATTACGTAGATCAGACCCCAGCTAGTTTGAAACTGACGCTTTTTTTTTTTTCTGTTGTTTTGTTATCATGTAGAGTTTTTCTGCAGTTTTTTTTTTTTTGTAATTTCTTTCCTTATTGTGAGTTTTCCTGCTTCCTGTACAGATTGATCCATCAGAGAAGTTCAATCCTGAAGTTGTAGAGATTCTAGCAGATATAGCAGATGAATTTCTTGTGTCTGTGAGTAGTTGAACCTACCCAAGGACTATTATGCTTTATAAATAGATGATTTTGTTTGATTGTAATCTTGATTTGTTCCAAATTTTTTAAGACCACATGGGAATGCATAAGCGGAATTTTTCTTCACTAAATGTAACTTTATAGGAGCTAAGCTGTGCTCATTCACCAAAACAGTAGGTTGATTGATTAAATGAATTGGATTCAGATTCACCATACAAATCTTGAAAATTCATTTCTTTTGAAGGGCAGTAAACAAAGTCATCATCTGAATATTAGGAAAACAATTGTGTTTGAAAGAAAATACTAAAATAGTCCATTTGGAGATTGAAAGAATTGCAATTGATTAGTGAACCTGAATTTATTAAAGCCATGTACGTTGCAAAGGTGCTCAAGGTTCTCTTCTCCTTGAATTGTAGAACAAAATTCATAAAAAAATTTCAACTACAATTTTGATGGTAATATATTCAGATTAGTTTTGTTACTCGGAGCTTGGGTTTCAATGGTCTGAACTTTTTTGTCTGAGAGTATTATACTCTACACTCTTTTAGTGATCTTCATTTTGTCAAGTTGTTTTCTTCTTCTTTTTGCAGAGCCATTCCAAATTTATTTGTATTTTTTTTCTTGGTGCAGGTCACAACATTTGGTTGCTCATTGGCCAAGCATCGAAAATCAGATACATTGGAAGCAAAAGACATACTTCTACATCTTGGTTAGTTCTGCTGGATTAGCCATCCAAGGCTTGCATTGTCATTTGTTTTGTATCTCATGCTAAATCCTAAGTTTTCTCTATGTTTTTTGTGCAGACAGAAACTGGAATATGACACTGCCAGGGTTCTGTGGCGATGAGATTAAGAGCTACAGAAAACAAGTAAGCATTTTCACTTGCTTTCACTGACTTGTGGAGTTGAGGTCTGGCACGAGTCACTATTTGGTGCAACCTTTTCTTTCCATCCTTTTCTCTTTGTTGATTTTGCATTGTGAATTTGCAGATAACAAATGATATCCACAAGGAGCGCCTTGCGGCGGTGAGTTTTGGCCAAAAATCTTCCCATCCAATAGGCATGCATGTCTTGACATATATTTATAACAGCATACATGTCTACATGCGTGTAGGTTTTCAATTACCTATTTTGTTGCTTCCGATATAAATTAATAATGTTGTCTTTGATTGCAAGTTAGATAAAGAGGATCCTATAATTTAGCAGTTTTGAAACAGAAATCATTTCATGATAACTTTTTCCCCTTCTGTCTTCCTTATATATACATACACACACACATAAACATACATATTTTCTGTTCTTGGTTATGCCAGATAAAGAAGTCAATATTGGCATCTGAGATGGCAAATGCTAAGAACACCGTGGGACAAGCTGCTGGAAATGCGAAGAGTAGCACGACAAAGACCTTGTCAAATCCCATTGTCTCCCCTAACCTGAAAGTTACATGAGGTGTTTATTGTACTAGCTTTGGCAGCTAAAGGTAAGGCCAATAGTTTTCAACTTAACAATACATATATCTTCTCCGCTTGGATCATGCATTCAGTTGAAAATGCTTGATGAACATTTGGGATTGCTTGTAGTGAGACTTGCTTGTTTTATAAATCATGTCACTTATCAATGGTTGCATTGCTTGGAGTCCTGGTGGTGGATAAGACATTATAATGAATATTTTTGCTAACCTAGGTGACTTGAAAAGTCATGAAGTTTAGTCATAACTTTATGTTGGATCCATGTAGAAATAAGTTGAATGCTTTCTATCTTACATTGCTTTGAGATAGATCAATGCTTAACTTTCTTCTCTCATGTTGCTTTGCGTCTGTGTTTCAAGTTTATACTCTTTATCTAATTATTCCATTGTTATAGATTGTTTTGGCATGGTTTATTGTTTCAAGCCAAACTTGTCATTTGGTTTGATATCAATAAATCTAGGTGAAGTTTTGGTAGCACAACACATGATATGGCAAGTTGGCAATTGTATAGAGTGCCTTGTTGGGCGAGGAATGTTCAATCCCATGGGATGGCCTGAGCCCGGGTGATATTTGGTAGGCTTGGGCATGGTCTTTCAGCTTGGGTGATGTTGGGCGGGCATTGGGCTAGCTTGACCATTTAATTTTAAGAATCACTACTTGCAAGGAATTAATATGGAGTTTTATAGTTTGGTAAAACTCCTGTTTTTCTTTTTTCGATTGCCCCCTTTTTATTTCAATTTTGTCCCCTTGTTTTCTATCAAATTCATTCTCAAACTTTTTTAAATAGTTGTCTGGGTGGTTTTTGAATCGTCCAAGTTGACTTGATCATTTTAAGGCAACTCCCAAGCAGTTTAGCTTTAAACTTGGGCTAAGTTAAGAGCTGAGCTGGAAGGGTTTTTTTTCCTATTAATTTCATTATTGTTTCTCAATTTCATCCTCACACTTATTATACCGGTTGTCTAGGTTGTTTTTGGACTGACCAAGTCAATTGGGTTGCGTCAAGACAACTTATACACAGTTTAATTTTAAACCCGATCTAGGCAAAAAGTTGGGTCAATAGGTTTTTCATGTCAATTTCATCATTGTTTTCTTAATTTCATCATTGAACTTTTTTTACTGGTTGGCCAGGATGTTTTTGAATCAACCAAGTCAACTGAGTTACATTGGAGTAACTCCCAAATGGTTTAATTTTAAACCTAGACTAGACAGAGTTGGATTAGGAGGTTTCAAGGTTGATCCACTAGGTTGGGTTTAATAAAAATGTCAAAAGGTTAATATTTTTTATTACATAAAAATAACAAAATTGTTCTTGCCCACAACGAAGTGGGGAACTATAAACTAGTTTCATCTATACACATGTATATGACACCCAAAACCCTAACACTCTTGGACTGCAACCACCTTATCCTTGCTGATTATACAATGAAATATTTCATGCTTTAATTTCTGTCTCCATCTTTTACAATTAGTCATCATCTTCTTTAGTTCTTTCATGTACATTTTTTTTAAAGAAAAAAACTTTGAATAGATCATTGTTGGATATGGGTAAACCTGTTCTTATTGTTTTTTTTTTTTTCTTTCATGGTGGTGATGGTGGGACATATGCACAGTGGTTCTGTGATTTGAGAAGATGACAGGTTGTAAGCTTATCTTTAGCAAATAATAGTAATATAAAATTTTTATATAAAATCTACTTTTTTGGGACTAAAATGTGCCTAGCCAATTACTCAATGCCAATAGTCCTTGAACAAAATTGGGAATTTAATCAGGTCCGTTATTAACTAAACCTAGGTTTCCATCCAATTGATGTCGACTCTAAACATGTGGTATAGGTTTCCATCCAATTGATGTGAGATGTACTAAACCTAGGTTTCCATCCAATTGATGTGAGATGCATCATGTGCAAGTTCTCTAACCCTTATGTAGCGAGCATTGATTGGAAGAATTATGGGTCAACTTTGATTGGTCACCAAAAATTTTTGAGGGTTTTTTGGTCAATAAATATAATTAACATTTTAATTAAATGAATTTATTAGATTTTAAATCATAAATTTTATGGTGTTTGGGAGTAATTGGTAACATTCTATTATTTACTTTCTAGGATCTACTTTGAATAAAGAGATAGATACAAGGAGATATAAATCCTAGTTTGAGATATTTTTATCACTTTTAGTGAATTTTGGATTTTATTCTTTCTCCTACATGTCTTACTTTCTTCAAAGTGGATAAAATGTAGTAATTAATAGGATGCTACTAGTTACTCTCTATGTATCATAATTTTTTTCAATTTTAAATTGTCATTAACTTTCTTATTGTCAAATAAATAATTAGAAATTAGAAAATACAAGAAAATCAAAACATAAGCTGAAAGTAGTAATTTTAAATGGTAAATGTTAAATAAAGTTACTAGTAGTAGTTAGATACAAATAAAAAAGTACATACAAATAAGAACCTAACTGCATATATTATCTCTGCTGAGAACGATCAATTGTGAAAAAAAGAAAGAAATTCAAGCGCACACAAAAGTAGTGATCGGTAAAATTTGATCCCTCTCTAAAACCTATTCCACAAATCCCGTATCCTGTGATGTGTATCTCCCATGAACAGTACCTCCTCTCTTTTTACTGTCCCTGCTCTCTTCCTCTTTCTTCTCTTTTGTCCATGTATAATAGGTGATTTGTGTTTTTAAATCGCCATGATTGCAACAAGAACACCTTGGAAGATGTTGATTGGAGGGCTAACCACTAACCAAAGTCCCAATAATTATTTGTTAGTGACAAATTGTGTTGAATTTTTTTTTCTCCTGTTATTCTGAATTTTTGATGGAGATTAAGAGAGATTTGTAGTTATTAATAGACATGGTTTTTGGTAGCAAATTCAGTGGATCTAGAGAGGAATGATTTTCTCGTGGAGGTAATGGGTTCAAAGGGAGCTTTCTGATCATCAACAGTTGAAAGGGAAGTGAGAGAGGATGGAGGGGAGATTGTGTTGGCTTTATGGTTTTTGAAATGAATTAATATTTTTGGACTTTTAATGTACATATGAAACAAAACAGGGTTAAGGTGGCTAGGGGCATTCAAGTAAAATCATAAATGCAAACTTGTATCTTTTGTGATGAAGGCAGAATCGGATCATATGATATATCAGAGCCACAATAAAAAGATATGGATCTGCCTTTCTTTTTACCCGTGACATGCAGAGTTGACAACGATTCTCTTTCTGCAGGTCTAGTTATGGGAAAGATGGATGACAATCACCAAAATCATCCCTCCCTTTATTCAAACAATGCATGTGGAATCCATTCACAGATGGACATGAATAGGGACACCACAAGTCCAAGAAAATAAAAAATTACCCAGATTGACGACTCAGACAACTGATTCCAAGTTATTGTGGAAGTGGAAGTTGTATTGCATCCGATAACACAGTGTAGAGTTTGTGGTATGGAGGTGCTTGCGCAGCTAATGCTAACCAGGTTTCTTTCCATTATCGTTTTGTGCAGTACATTAGGTAACAAAGAATCAAAAGCTGTTCCTTTCTTTTGTCCGTTGGAATTGTAGGAAGACAATTGAAGTGGTTTCATGATTCCAAGTTTGGGAAGCGTAAACGCTATTGCTCCTACAAATAATTGTGTTAATGGACTTGTATAAAAAGCTTTGAGCTGAATTCTGTAAAAGACATATGATTGAACCTAAACTTGCATGCATGGAAGTATGTTTTAGGCTGAATCATGTCCAGGGTACTGCTTCCCTCCAAATTCATGCTCCTCCATTTTCCTTGAGTGGTTGGCTAGATGTGTGACGCCTCAATTAAAATAAACTTCAATACGATATATAACATTTAGCTTCTCAGCCAACTACTTGAATTTTGAAATTACCCTAAAGAATGAAAATTCTCAAGCAAATCTGTTTTTGGAGATGACCAACATATTGGTTCATTGCTGTGAAATTAACTGAAGGCTGTGTTGGAATTGATTTGGATGCACTTGTGTTTTGATGTTTTTTCTACATCTTCGATCCATTCTTCGGACCAGTTGTAATTGCATTGGTGGCCTGGGTCGCCAATAATCATGAATGATTTTGGCATGGTCGTAGGAAATCTCGTACTAGGTTATTTCTAATTCATTCTTGGTTTCTTTAAACTCTGGCCTTGTTCGTTCAACTTATTTGCGACAGTCTCAACAGCACCATGAAAACGATCTGTCTCGTGCTAGTCGAAGGTTCGTCTGCATGGCTGTCGGAAAAGAAATATGGAGGCCAGCCCGCAATTAATGAGCACTTAATCTTGTCTGCGGGCTCATTATTCTTTGTTATTCCATTTCTTTTTTGTGCTTGTTAAGTTCTCTGATTTATTATGCCTCAAGTGCTGAAGCGTAGTGAAGGTACTCCATTCGATATTAGCAAGTTGGCCTTGGGGCAACGCCTGTGTTCCTCCAAAGTCCAAACATGCAATGCTGCTCTCCCTAGGAAACCGAAAGCCTCCGTGTTGCTTAGGCTGGGGACACACCACGGCATCCTGCTTCTGTATGCACCGTTGAGGTTCAAAAGCGATATCTGAATGCAGCCACGACCAATAAATCCAACGTCTTAAACAACGAGCATGACGAATATTACAGAGAATAATAATAAAAAAAAAAACCCTACAATTTTTATGGATTTCTTGCAGCATGCATGCATGATAAAAGGTCAGCACGCACTCATCTCTTCACCTCCTTCAATTCTAGTTTCTACGAGAAAACAATTGCAGGCTGCTGGCAAAAAAAAACAAAAATAGCAGCAATATTACATGTAAAGAGAAATACTTGTGGAAGAATACGCCTAGAGTTCTATAAATTTGATGGAGTTTCTTGGGGCACCAAGCTGCTAATCAATTATCCGTGGGACTTCCTTCTCGAGCATAGATGTTCCCTTGAAAATCGTCAGCTGAAATTCCCTTGTATACTTCAACAGCTGAACAGAAAGATGTTTTATAGTTGTTACTATTCCTGCAACAATAGTTCTCATCTAAACAAAGATCATCCAATGCCAAAAAGTCCAACCAAAGTTCCATTGCTTCTATTTATTTGACAAAATCTATACTGCAAATTAGAGTTTTGTGGCTGAACTTCCGTTGATCTACGGTAATGTCTTTCTAAAATAAAATACCCAAGGACTTCGTGCAGAGGGGACAAAAACAAAAATAGCTTGAACAATGTTTTGTAAGACAGACACACACCACCCTCTCGGGAGATGATGCCTGCACTTGCCCTAAGTTATAACAGCACACCCGCCTCCATTTTTCTCCAAATAACACTATCCTCACAAAAAAGTACTGGTTGTTATTTCTTTTAAATATATATATTGCTCTTTTTGAGAGAAAACGTTAAGAACCATCTCCGTATCACTTTCATCTTTTCATTTCTGAGCATTTTGCGACTGAGTTTCAACTTCCAAATATTCTAAAATAACTATATTAATGGAAGACCTGGATAACGTAGAAGAAAATTTTAGAATGAAAAGAATCTATAATAGTGGGTATACAAGTGAATTTGATTAAATTTTCCCAATTAATCACACAGCTCATCGCAAAATCCCCAAAGACCCACTTTCTCTCAAACTCTCTTCTCCCTCACACTATTTTTTTCCCATCCAAAGTCGTTGCTGCTTGAGCATACTGGAGATCATAGCTCAAAGAACTGCAACCTAAAAACAGAACTTTTATCTATGGCACTAATAGTCAGATTCATGGTGGGGAAAATTGTTTATTTTGCCGAAGTAGTTGCAACCGGCTTCACAATGGTTGGGCTTTTTGGAGTCTCGCTGTCAGACTATGATTTGTGAGTAAGGAGAAGACTAGAGTTTGACTCGGTTTTGGGTTTTCTAGATGTTTTTGCGAGAGTGGAGTTCAAGTGTAAGGGGAAAAGAATGTTTCACAGCTTGTATTTTGGAAGAATAATGTTTTTGGCGTCACGCAGTTTTTGGAAGAATAATTTGTTTTCAAACAGGGAAATTAAGACAGTAAATAGAAAGATCAGCTAGAATTTCAACAAGGAAAAAATCATCAATTTGAAAAATAATGGATAGTGGGAGGGCCTTTATAACATGAAAGGAGGGCAGATATCACCTCCACACCCCATTCTCTTCCTTCTTCCTCTTCTTTATAAATTTATCCATTGCATTTCATGCACAAACAATTTATTCTGTTATGACCAAAACAAGGAAGCTCGCTATTTTCTCAATTTTTATGAGCATTTCATCGCTTTATTGATTCATAAAAAGAACTATAAATTTGACCATCATTAAAGAATAAAAGACAAAACTTACTTGTCCCTCACTCATCTTTCTGAAGCCAAATCTTCTTGTCCAGATTGATTCCGCTTCCTCAGCTGCTGGGAGCACCAGTTGTTCCACATTCAGGGAGCACAATAACCTCTCAATGCATGAGAATAATGCTTGGAAATAACCCTAAAAGAGATTTACAAAATTAAGTTAGAAGGTTATTCATCAGAAGGCTGAACCTTATAAAAAAAAAAGATGCACGAGGAAGTAAATATTAAAAGCTGAACTCCAGCATCCCATTCAAATTCCAACAATAGACACTCACATTCCCTTGATGCTCTCTGTTTGTAGCCACTAAAGGAAGCTCAGCAACCTCCCTGCCGAAAATCCTAAGAAGACCAGCAGACACAACAACATGCCTGTGGATGCATCAAACCGCAACAATTACATTAAAAAAAAAAATCACCAATGAATTGAAAAGGAAGTTAAAAGCTGAAAAAAACCAACATTTCATGAAATGCAATGTACCTTACAGTCAAAAGCACACAATACATGCCCCCAAATTCCTGGCCAGATATATTTCTCCTGCATAAAGTTAAAGAGAGAATTTTAAAGTTCTGAAAGTCCTGAGAAATTACAGAAATTAGAGACAGAAAACCAGAACCAGCAATTGATGCAGCTAAACTAAGCATGTAAATTCTCTTCAGAATGTTCTCATCTCTTAATACTCTAGTTGGTTGAAAGGAAAGAGATTGAGAAGTAAAGACAGAAGGATAGAACATCAGTCTTCTACCAGTGTAACATGGGAACAATTGAAAATAAGAATCCTTTGTTCCAATCCCTTCATTATCATGAATCAAAATTTAGGGGCCACAAAGAAGGGAGAGAATTTATCATTTCTCTTGTTCGCCAAACTTTCATCCAACCATTGTAACCCAAAATGCGATAGCACATGTCAAGTGAGAATAACTTTCACTCTCTAGAGCGCCTACTTTCTGGCAATTGGCATATGTGTGCTTTAAAGGAGACAGACCAGCAGAAGGATAAATCAAGTGCACCTTCATAATTCAAAACCATAAACATTTCCAAAAATGATATAGAAGATAAATTAAATTCTTAGCAAAGAAGAAAATTAATAATTAACCTTCAATGTTGATGAGAAAGAATTATAATGTTTTGAAAAGCATGACTGATTAATTTCACACTTAAGATGATAATTCATACCACATTCATACCACACAACATAAGTGAAAAACAAAGTGTTAATGTTAAGATGCAAAATTAAGTTTATTAATTTCCATCCAATTGGTAGAAATCACCTATTAGGCTTTTTCCCATAGGACAAGGCTCAAAGTCAGAGAGTGCAAATAAGTTAGTCCACATCAAATATGCTTAAAGCAAAAGGATTAAAGGGAATGCGGATCCATATCCATACAGCCACATGTTTTGGTTTCATATGAAACATGCGAATCAAATTGAGGTGTGAAACAAAAGCATGGCTACTTTTACCGCATACAATCTGAATGCAGGAGCAAAAACAGAATTGTTAAGACTAAAATGTACAGGCAGCAAAAAGGCACAACATACCCATAGACCATAACAGGAATAAGATCACGGCCAGTTTTTGCAACAATTGGATCAAAACACTCCTGTTGAAAGGAAAAGTTAGCATAATCAGTAACACTACACACATCTACTAAGACTACTCATGGATGTTCATTCTTACACATAGCACCCAAAGAAGAAAAGCTTTAACTTGCATAAGGCATCAGGTGACAAACCCAACTCAATGGCTTAAAAATATTTGTTTACCCTCGAGCATTTGAAGTAACAACATGAACATTTACTTCATGAACATCAAAACCGTACCAGGCCCTTACCCCACTTTGACCTCAGCTAATTCCTAACAAACACAATTCCTATCCTTTTACAGGTAAGGACCTATCTAATTGTCCTATCATCTTCATCATCCTTCACATTGCAAGATTTAAATTATTAGTTTTTCTCAAGGTGGACAGCATTAGTTCCTCTTCTTTTCCCTTTTTCTATTGATGGTGGAGAGGTAATGATTCGCATGAGCTTTGAAAGGAGTTTCATTAGGTAACATTCAGCATTTTCTAAATGCTCTTTTGTTTGATATTATTTTTATTTAGAAAGTTCCTTGTCCATTTTGTAATTGACTCAGTGCTCGATTCAACTCATCTAGACCAAGTCTCAGTTCCAAACTAGCTAGGGCAGGCTTCAAGGATCCACCCCCCCTTTCCTCCATTTTGTTCTGTTACGAGCTAAACACTTGATAAAATGAATTGGACTCTCCCCGTGAATTAAATGAAGACAACACATTTTTCTTCCTCTGTAGAAGTGAAAAATATGCAGATTTCTTTTTCTCTTTTGCAGAGAAGAGAAAAGGAAATAAATAGTAAAACACAACTTATTTTCACTTCCCAAACTAAAATTTCTCACACCTCAACCTCCAGTTTTTATCATTTCAGTAAATGTACCCAAGAAAAAAGACATCCAAA